CCGCGGCGGGGACACAAAATGTTACTCCGTACTTCTTTAGGGCTGCAGGGTTATTCTGCACCTCATCAATGATGGCCCTCCATGCCTTTAGATCGCCCTGACAAACAACACGTACATACTGGCTTTCAGCCCTGCGTTGTTGCTGTTCCCTCTCTTTTATAAAAATAGGTAAAATTTCATCGGAAGCATCAAAATCAACTAAAAAACTCGTACGGTCTTCGTATGGTGCAAAAATATCCTTTGAGAAATGCGTCGGAGAAAATTTGTCCTTTTCCCTCGAAAGGTCCTGCGATCCCGCACCGGTAACCTCAATTTTCTTAATGCTCTCCATACGACGAATTCGTCCGCATTGATTTACAGATTTATCCCCTAAAAGTCGAAGAAACTCGGTCACATTAGCAGATGTTACCTTCACATGGATACCGTTGGGGATAAGCTCCACAAGTCTACCGTTCCGTGGCACACTAAACGTCAAGTTCAGTTGTGCAATCTGTGAGCCCGTCACTTGTCCTCGTTTTAGACCCTCTACCTTGGCGCAAAAGTCGGCATCTGAAGAACATAACTCAGCAGAGCTGAAATCGCCAATGTTTGCCTTGGCCACCGATGTATCCGATGCCGATGGGAACATCAAGGTCCCAGGACTCATCAGACCTCCGTCCATTACGCCTGGGGAAGAAATGGGTCGTTCCTTGTCATGCTGTGGGTTGCCTGGCAAAATAGGAACTGAGACGCTCTTGACACGCTGCGATGTTACGAGGGGTGCAGTCTCCGCTTCGGGTTTATTCCTATTTGCCTCATTCGTTCTGGCATTGCGGTAGCGTTGAACACACTCCAAGTACTTGGGGAGGTCATTGTACTGCACGTTGATCGCCGAGCCATTCTCAACGAGTTCCTGAATTGTTCCGTCAGGCAGCGGAGCCACCCACTTCAGCTCGGCCTTTTCAAAGTCACTTCGACTGTACGTAACGAGTTCGTCCAGAAACCCAAAGAAGTCTCGATTCGACGTTGGTGACAAAAGAATATTGGGCTGAGCATGAGCATGGCCCTTTCCTTCCTCTTTTGCAGTATCCTCTGCAAAGAGCGTCGACAAGGAAGACTTCTTCCGTTCCGCTCTGGATCGCCCCAACGTACTGTTGCTTGCTCGATGGAACTGATCCGCAAGAGTATCCATGGCGGCTTGGCCCACATTGATGTCAAATGCCTCGCCAAATGTGGCCAAACAGACCGCCATCTTTCCCACAACCGCACGGACCTCACCCTGCTCAAAGGGCGATAGTGACGTTTCATTGTTGTATGCAAGATTAGACAATTCCCCCATGCAGGACATCATCTGCATCAAAGAATGTAAAACAGCCCGGTTGTTTGGAAGAATGCCCAATAACTCCAAAAGTTTACGGTTCTCAAGAGCAATGTCCTCAAATGTGGGTGCGCAAACAGACAAAATCTCCTTCGAGTACATTCCTAATTCTTGTTCTGAACTGAATGGCGAGACAAGTGGAAAAAAGAAAAAAAGAAAAGAAAAAAAAATAAAAAAAAAAAGTTAAAATCATCACGGCGTGGTAAATATTGCAACGTCCTCACTCTCATACATGCGCAGAAGGAGAAGAAAAGAGAAAGAAAAAAAAAAAAAAAAAATTTGTGAGCATACAAAAAAAGGAAATTAAAAAAAAAAAAAAAACCAACGCAACTAAACACATACACATGCAAATATATAAATAAATATAAAATATAAATATATATATATATATATATATATATATATACAGAACCAGATTAAAACAGTTTTTCCGGTTTCTCTACGGGGGGTATCGGTGATCTTATTGCCACGTTCCAGTAGCGGTTGACAAAGGCATCTATTACTTCAGATGTATCAGAGGAATTAAGCCTGAGACCACTCAAATTACACCGTCTCTCTGGCACTTTCTTCTTATCCAACGGCACCATGGATGATGAAGAAAAGGTATCCAATAGAGAAAAAAGCTCTGCAACGAGAGGTGAAACACTGGCTTGTATATCTTCTGAGCATCGATGATATGCAGTCGAGCGTGCTACAACCAACAGCTGCAAAATATCCTCTTGGGCTTTTAGCTCCCCCTCCAAATGAGGCATCACGGAGGAGTTTTGATGCATCACCGATTGCATGGTCGTTGCAAAAAATAAATGATTCCCATGAGGAAGACAAGTGCACACGAACTGTATGCAGTAACGACACACGTCTGTAAGCGATGAAAGTAACAAGGCCTCGGAAGCAGATTGAGGCGACGTCGCAACCACGGCAACAAACACCTCATTGACATTTTCCAGCAACGTCTGAAGATCCAGCAGCAAACTTGAATCTGACAACACCGCTCGCACACCACCATGACTTTCCACCCAATCCCGTACACACTGGCGGAGTTTGAAGGCCAAAGGTGGGACCTGCAGGACCGGAAAGACCGACACGTGTTTAAATGTCTGCAAAAACTCCAAAAAAGGAAAAATAGAAACCAAATTACAATGAGTATTAACAAACCCATCGTTCCGAACAGAACTCCCCTGTGGGTCATCTCCCATCCCGTCACTCGCCACTGGATTCGGCATGTTGCCACAGTCACTCCGACAGAGAAGACTTTGCAAAATAACAGATGCTTCGTACCATCGAGGCACATCATCATTCATGATGCACTCAAGAACTAACACAACTTCCTCCAGTCGCTCCGAGTGGACGGCGGAGAGAACGTCGCATACATTGGGACCCGCCCCCACCGACTCCCCAATGGAATGCCTCGAGACTGTGGCAGCAACAAAATCATCGGCTGGCAAACATGTCGCAGCTGCAGCATCGTCTCTCACAGGCACACTAGAAAATAAATGACTCCCAGACGGCACCGAAACTGGGGGAGAAGAAAACAGCTCATCCAACAAGTCCATCGACCGCGGTTGAGTTGGTACCCGCGACGGCGGATACAAAACTGCAGGTACACCGCTGCACCCTCCGCGCGCCGTCGCGCAGGAAACATCCTCGGATGCATACGTCGAGCAACTCCACATCACCGCGGTAAAAAAAAAAAAAAAAAAGAATTCTAAAAAGCTCAATAAAAAAAAAAAAAGAAATTACGGGAGAATAATCCTCTGGGCCGCTGGCCGGATCCTGAGTTTATCAATAATACAAACCAAACCAGATAGGAATAAGAAAGGATGAATGGAATAAGAGTGGATTCACCATACCCTCAAAGTTTAACACCAGGTAAGTGTATATATGTATATATATATCATCCGTTAGCCACAATTGTGGGCCGCTCACTCTATTCGGATGGGGTATGTAAATACAGACTTACGAAGTGGCAGACTTCGGGGTCCTCCAGCCACAAGACACCGCCACGTGGTGGGAAATCAAAAAGGGGGCTGCTGGGACGGCAAAATCAATTTTAAAAAATTTTTAAATTTTATTCCAGACGTCATCGGTTCCCTGCTTCCTCCCCTAAAAGTCGCGTTATTTTCAAGAATCGTTCGAATAGAAAAGCGTCATAAAGAAGTGTATATTCGTTTTCTCAGGACATACATACATACATATATATTTATTAAGTTCGCCAGCTCTTCCTGCGATCATTCTCCCCACAAGCTCCTATATAAAAATCGCAAAAGGCACAAACAAATCAACAGCAAAAATAAAAAAAAAATGGCTGCTCTCACGGAAGTGCTGCATACGCCGATAAGAGCGTCCCAGCACCGCAAAGCCGGACAAAACCGCACAGACCACAGAAAATAAAAACGCTTCGCATATGAACGGCCCAAGCCACCGATCAAATCCCAGTGCGCCTTCGGCTTGCAACGCCAGTACGAGGCCCGACACCACGTCCGTAGCTGCTGGCAGAGAATGCACCGTGGAACATTATGCCTTGAAGGTTACCCACCACATGCTTCCCACTCGTACTCACAAGCTCCAGCGGCTGCGTCAGTCCTCTCGTTGCGCTTGGGAGTTTATTCAAGTCAATTGTCTGTCCGTCGTTCATCTCCGTGGATCCCGCATTCATCCTAAACTGGCAACAACAGCACAAACAGCAAGAGAAGAAAATATAAATAATAATAATAAAACATCAGAAAATGTAAAAAAAAAAAAAAAGCGAGGCTGAAAAAAACCATTTGAAAGAACGAAAACAAAGATGCCGTTCACACCTACTACAAAAGAACAATGAAAAAGACAGTGGCCAGAGAGGAGTACTGCAGGAATCATCAAGACTCAAAGATCGGACGCCGAAGACGATCAGTGGCCCCGGGTGAACGGCCCACGCGAAGCACTACCATGACGGTGTCAAGAATAGACTTTACGTTCTTTATGAGAAACACGCTTAACATTTGATGACCCCGTAGCCAAAGCTGCGTTCGCACCGCCAGAAAGGGAGCATCACACACAACAACAAGAAACAGTAGATATTGAAGAATACGGCGCTTGTGACTTCCACCCACATCCGTGCTATTCCATTGATTGGTTGCATCACGCAACTTCTTCGGTAGGCAAATAAGCTCCGCGTGTTCAACGCCATCACGTGCATAAAACAAGTGAATGACGCCAACGTTGTTCCCTACAAACGCGACGCTTGCAATGATAAAAATGAGAATTCGAAATGGTTCCGGTATTGTTCGAAGAGCCCCTCCTCGGTTATTAAATGAAATGATAGACCCATACACAGTGAAAATGTCCAGGGAGTTCAGCAGATGGAGGAGGAGAAGGTTAAAATTATTGTTAAAGTTCTCCACGATGCTGTTCTCCGTTATTATTCCATCCTGCAACCCGGAAGACTCATTCGTCTCCATAATATACAGCGGAAGCTGAACAATAGAAACTGTTAAAACAAGCATCGCAAAAAGGCCGTTGGAGCCAATCTGCTGCTGCTGCCCCTCCGCCTCCCCTCCTTCTGCATGAGGAATGTACGTCATACCCCACAGTACAGTTGTTTTGCCCACAAACAACACAACAGTCAAAACATTCGAGATGTAAAAGCTACGTAAACGGAAAAAAAAATACAATCCAAAAACAAACACATCTAAAACAGCAACCGCCGTCACTAGAAACCCAAGAACGCCAAACAAATATACATCGCACAAGACCTGTTGAACCACAAACGATATCAATATAAGCCCCATGACAACGTATTTACTGAAAAAAGGAATAGACGGTAAGCAAGAAAAGTCCAATGTTAATGCCGCAAAAACAGCCACGCAGAATACGCATGGGACTGTAAAACATATCCCGAGGACAGTCATGACTTCCCCAAGGCCGTCGTTCATAAGCATGGAGTCATGCCCTACAATCTCAAAAATGCCAAAAAACACACACGCAAAGGATCCACCTGCCACCACAACAAAAACAACAAATGTGAGCAAATACACACGCCGTTGGGCAACTTTACGTTCTGCTTCTAAAGCCCCACTTGGAACAGACGTATCCACTCCTCGATGCATCCTCTCCGTGCTAAAGAAGGCAAACCTCTAAAAGAAGCAACAACAAAAAGAAGAAATCCTATATACATTCGCACGCATGAATAAAAGATGGATTTAAAGATAACAAACGTCAAATAAAATAAAAAAATATATAAATAAAAAAATAATAATAATAACC